CCGAGTAGGCGACCTTGCTGCATTTACCATCGGCGTATTGAGCGTCGGCAACGCGCTGGATAATTTTGCCCGTACCCTTGTACACGGCGTACTGGGCCAGACCCGAGCAATCAAAGCCTATAGTATGAGCCCCTTTGCCGATGCCGTACGACTTGCCTTTCCAACTGCCGCCACCCCAACTGTACGGCACCCCTATCTGTGATCGGGCGGCCGATACTATTTCAGGCCCACCACAGCTACAGTCATCTAGGTATTATTTAAATTTTTGAAGTTAAAATTTTTAATTGTTTTTGTAAATATTTTATTTTACTTATTAATTTAGTAAACATAACTTACGGATAGCGTAACAAATAACAGCTACGATCAGTGATTGTGAAATTAATTTCATTATTTAATAATTTTTGTTTGTAGTTAAAAGTTCAATAAAAGAAAGTTTATTATAACTTATAAAGTTTTTGATTAATTATTATTATAAATTTTTTTTACTTTTTGATAAAGTGATGTCGAGTATCAATCTTTATATACTTTTAAGTGTTGTTTATTATTTTTACTTTTATTTGACATTCAATTGAATTGTTTGCGTAGATATTGATATCCGTGTTAAATACGGTACAGTATATATTATTACTTCATTTAATAATAGGGTATTATCTTTGTAAACAAAAATTAATATTACATATAAACAAACAATTATTTTGACAACTTATCTTGTTTTTTAATTATTATAACCCGGATTATAAACACATACAGTAATTTAATCATATCATGTTATAGCATTGAGAAAGGTGTGATTGTTTATACATTGTTATTAACGTTGATTGTTATAGTTATTTTTAGTGATAAATGAAATGCAGTGTTTATTATTAGTTTATTAAAGATAAATGAATGAAATGCTATAAAGTATTTATTTTTCTTTCTAAACATGTATTTTATTTATTATCTCAAATAATAATAAGTATTATTTAGTTATAAATTAGTTATAAACTATTATGCAATATTTTGATGGTTGCCAGCTTTTATTTGTTATAATTTACATAGTTTTTGTACAATCGATGCAATTACTGAATCGCCGGTGATATTAGTCGCCGTTCGTATGCCTTCACTATAAAATAATAAATAGACTAGATATAAATTTGTTTTACATTTTTAAAATTTATATTTAATGTATAATTTTATATAAATGAAATGATATCAATTGGTCAATAATTATAGTTATTGATTAAATTACACACATATTAACTATTTTACTTACAAAAACCATTCAAGCGACATAGTATACACCAAGACATCCATTGGGTTATTTACACCGATTAGTGAGCAGGTGGTTAGGAAAAATATCAATGATGAACCACCCGATGGTGTACCTGGTAGTGCCATAGACATAATAACGCAGAATATACTAGATAAAATTCAAGAAATAAAATTTTGATAGGTTTTATAAAATAATTTATAACATTTATAAATCAATTACACTAGGCTGATTGTCATCTGAAACGTGATGGTCATGCCGTGCATTTGTGCCACAAACAAACTAACCATGGGGTAATATGTGGCCGCACCTGGCATGTGCATGGTCATTGCCAGGGGTAATACAAACTGCGATACAGTTTGTGATAGTTTATTTTTCTCTTCCATACATTTCATAGTAACTGGTAATGTTAGTGCGCTAACCAAAATATATAATATTAATATCTAGATCACCTTCTAAATAATTTACCTTGATGATGAACCAAAAGCTATAATTTGAGCAGGTATAATATTGAAATACATTTTGAAACAATTCTTGCGTATAATTAAGAAATATATTGTCGGATAAAATATAAACCAAATGGACCCATATGTTAGAAATACTGTGCCAAAAAACCACCCCAATTGACCAAGAATTTTTTCAGGTGATTTCATTTTAATTGCCTGTACAGTCATCCAGCAAAACATTCCAATTGGCATTATTCTGCATAATAATAATTTCATATATTTTATATTTAGAGAGAAAGATAGAGAATAATTGATTTATATCTTGTTCAAAAACCTGATTAATGTCAATAGTATTCTCATGCAAATAGCGTTGGTTTCGTGTAATAACTGGCGAATAGTGTCTGCCTTTGAATCCAAGTGCAAAACAGCAAAACCCAGTATTAGTGAGAATACACACAAACCCAACATATTTGGCTTAAAGGCCCGTTCGGACACTTTCTTGTAACCCAGGGTCAGGTTGTGGGGGTCGAGGGCTACCAGTGCTGTGTAGTGTGTCGTAAATGTGGCCGCAATTATGTTATCCGGTATTAAATTCCTTAAAATTATCATAGACAATTAATATTTCAATTACTCTTACTAACAATACAAACATAAACACATCATAAATGCTTTCGTCTTGACT